GAAAAAACAAAACAAAGAACTCATGAGTTGGATTTGAACTCCAGACCTCTCGCTTCCTAAGCGGAGCGCGTAAACCCCTCGACACAGGGCAGTTTATGACAATAGCCGTAAAGAAACCAACACTTATTCTAAATAGAGTTTGTAACCTTATCTATTTCGACATATTTTGTTCACGGTAAACCTGTTGTTTAACCTGATACACAATAATCATGGAGCTTAATATTAGCAGTGTATACTCTGTAAAAGAATTACACAATATTAGAAATTCTTGACCAATCGGAACTGATTTCCACTTGAGTCTTGAAAATTAATGCGCCTGTCATTTGACAATCTTTACGCAATGATCTCCCCTTAATTTTTGTCGTTTAGTGTACACATAAGGGAAGTAACCCAACTTCGGAGTTCGGACATACTTTTCGGTTTTTGAAATTTCGCTAGCATTATTTGGTTTGATCTGACGACCAAACAATAAAAACGGTTCTTTTCTAGGTAAGTGTAGGCCGTTTCTTGCTAAATTTTCTTTGGTTTTCGCTCCAACAATTCTAATCTGGAAGTGTCCGTGCAGAAAAATGCAGTTTAGTTGTTGGACTTGAAAAAGACATTGCCAGTCTAAAATTATATCGTCGTGTTCTATTGACAGTCTTATAAACGTTGGACTAAAGTTATATATATACCGTTATAGATCTTTTTACAATACGATTTTCTTTAGCAACGAATGTTGCATTCGTGCATGCGCATTCTGGCGTAGGGCAAAAAGCAATAACGATGTCTACATTTAATCATACTTTAAGGCTTAATAGATGCGATTTAATGTTATGTCACCAAAAAATATTAATTTTGAGGAATGACTTAAGGCGGTAAGTACTGAAAACGTGAATTTATTTTTTTACAGATCTACGAAAATGTGCGGGAGTAATAATTCAATGGTCTAAACGGGCACACACATGTCTTTTGTTTAAGGTATCATTAGACTACTTTTCATCAGTAATTTAAATTGAAACAGCAGGTAGTTAAAGATAAAATTTTATTACCCCTGTATTACATAATATTACACAATAACAATTACATAATTGTATTGTACACTTCCTTTGAATAACTGGATTGGTCAGGGCGGCAGTGTTCAACAGATTGGAACCGCGAAGTTGTTGCATTTCAACCTGGGACGTTTAAATATCACTGATATAGTTAATCAGTACGCTTATATAAATTGTAATTTATGTTAACTTTTAAATATACCGATCAATTGTTTATGGATTTTAGAGAAGAGAAAAATTTGTGTGACGTGCATTATTAAAAATAACATTACGAAGAAGGATAAAATGTGTGTTATATCTTTTTCCCAAACAACCCCATCTTAAACTTCTCAGATTTTGAAAAAAATATAATTATTTAAATATATTTGTGTGACCTTATTTTTGATATCTGTTTTGCATCAACAGCAAATGGATAAAGGATATAATCGGTTATATGAAACGAAAATGGCATTATCACCTGTTTGTAATTTTTTTTGAATGATAAATATCGGCGATTTCTGTCTTTATATAAATTTCTTTCCGTTTTTAAATGGACTATTTCACAGCAATAATTGACTTTTCCATTTGCTAAATAGATATCATTTCGACATTTATTTTAAAAAATGAATCTCAGTGTCAGGTCCTTGATCGTAATTCTTAAACAAGTATCTTTTCGCTGCCTTTTGGCATTTTCGCCACAAAGCATAAAGTATCTTTCTATACTGTGAAAGCTATTTTATTAATTTTCTACCGCTTTACCTTGAACTAACTCGGGAATTGTCTTATGAATTCTACTTATTTCTTTGTAAGGGCGAAGTATTTCTGCCCATACGTAGAGTTTGCGCGATGCGCGAGAAATTCTTATTCGGTCGATTTTTCATACCAACGGACCGCGTTTCGTTTAAAGGTCTATCCAATGGCCTAAGAAGATTGTAGAGTTTTTATACATTTACTATCCACTTGCCGATAGAGGCTATAGTCACGTTATTTCAAAGTTGGCCCGATAGAGGCTATAGTACTGTTATTAAACAACTTGCCGATAGAGGCTATACGTACTGTTATTTCCAACTTGCCGATAGGGTCTATACTTACTGTTATACTCAACTTGCCGACAAAAGGGCTAATATATGACCAATTAAATCAAAATTTTTGCTGAAAGAGGTTTTATACGACAATGTATGTTCTGTTATATCAAACTTGCCGAAACCACGCTAATACATACCATTATATGACTTGCCAACAGAAAGCTTATGTATACGTACTGTTATATTAAAACTTGCCGAAACAGGCTATACATACCAGTATATTATACTTGCGATAGAAAGCTATTAATAACGGTCATACCCAATTGCCGACAGAGGCTATACGTAGTATTATAATCCCAAATTTGCTGACAGAGGCTATTATACTGCAATATCAGTCTTGCCGACAGAAAGCTATTGTACGTACTGTTATATCAACTTGCCGACAGAGGCTATACATACCGTTAAAACAAAGACTTTGCCGACAAGCAACATTGTAATATATAAACCATATATCAATTTTCCAACAAAGGCTTATACGTTCTTTAATAACCAACTTGGGCCGACTGAAAACTTTACATATACTGTTTTAATCAACATTATCCGCGGCGCAGGAGTGTAATAAAGCCATTTAAATAAAAAAACGATATTACACTAAGTGTAGATAACACTTTGACGTAATCGCCATTTGGGCTATATAATAAACATAAACGTTAAAAAGCGCGCTAATGTTAGCGTTACACTACAGGCCCGTCATTTTGAAAAATTACCATTTTAACAGTTTACTGTTCTTATTTTATATATGTGATAAAAAGAATATTATATTCGTGTAGATTCAATTCTAAATTTATTGAACGAGTTGAATAAAACAATATTATGCTCGCCAGAGGCTCGCATAATATGATTTTATTCAACCCGTTCAATAAATTTAGTATTAAACTACACTCATTTAATATCCTCTATATATACACCTTGCAAGCAGAAGCTATAAACTTGCCGATGAAAGCTATTTACTATATACGTATAATGTTATATCCTGCTTCCTGGCAGAGGCGTTACATACCGTTATATCCAACTTGCCAACAGATGTTATACATCCCGTTATATCCCACTTACCAACTTGATAATCAATATGAATTCATTTGTACCACCGACAAGAACATTGCCATGCAACAGGAACACGAGCAAAAAGATCTGTTTCGCAAGTGCCGTTACACGTCAATAATTTTATATACGAATTCTAATTTTCTTTCTTTATAAAGAAAGGTTAAAATGGACAATACTTAATAGCCAAATTTTCAATGTCGCAAAATTTAGAAATTGCAAACCATTTTGACGTTATATTTTGCGAAATGTATATTTAAGATTAAAAGGGAAATTAATTGATTCAATATATTCTTATAAATGAATATTGAGAACTATTGTTTAAATCAAATGCGTATTTATTTTCCGTATTTCCACCTTAAAAAACATAATTTACCCTGCGGTGAAACATATTTTCCGAATTTTCACTGGTGTCTTGCCAGACTACTTTCTTTTTAATTCAGTGAATACACAAAATTTAAGGGTGTAATGTTAAAAAGTAAATGTATATGATAATCGGAAAATTCAAGTTTTTTTTCTTTCTGTAAACACAGACTTTATTTCATATTGTGGTATGAAAATTATCATATTTCTGTCCAGGCTACCGCCAGTCATGAAAACTTCTTAAAACTTCATGATGAAAATAAAATCTGTACTAATAGGAAAAAGAAATTCTATATATATTTATTAACGGGCTGCAAGCTCTGTGGTATTTTACGATCTTTGCAATCTAAATCGTACTGTATATCTGTATGTATTTTCATGTATAAGTTTTTTTTTATATACAATAATTCATCTTGCAGGCTCCTAGATGCAGCGAGTGCGTTTAGTTTTTTTACTATAACAGTTTATGTTTGATACATACCGAATATTGCATGACAAGAGTTGTATCAAAAATCATTTATGTTCATTTTTTTACGACAGCTACACTTTATCCCTGCACATCGTGGCTACTTACTTGAAAAAAGACACTTAAAAAAACAAAAACAAAAAAACAACAAAAACAAATAGTTTCTCTCGACCGGGATTTGAACCACAGACCTCTCGAACTCTAAACGAGCGCGTTACCCCTGCACTACGGGGAAGTTATAAGACGAAGCCTGGATAAAATCGAATAATTCTAAATTTAGAATTTCAATTTAGGTTTGTTATCCTTAATTTCGAGATATTTTGTTCACAATAAACCAGTTGTTTAACACTGATGTAAATAATTCAGCGTTACTTCTCGCCAAAACAGTCCGACGTGTATATATGCCACTACTCGACTGTCAGATTTATTTGTGAAATACGCTCTGAAGTATTCGGCAATCGACATCGCTAAAATAGCATTTTCGTTGAATAAAATGATATTCATCCGCGTAATTTGTGATTTTGCATTTATTGACAATTCTTTAAGCCAACGTTACTTTTCAACTTTGAATGCGTTGTAATTTGTTGGATATTTATAACAAAATAAAAATATTTCTTTCGTTTACATCGCTAGTTTTAAGTTTTTTTTGAGAACTACTTGTTGTTAGGTTTGTCGCGAAGCGCTGTGCCAGAGATTGAATTTCAGCAATGTTTTTCCTGATCTGCGATCAGAAAATACAAAAACTTAAAAATGAAAACACATTGACAGGAACTGACACATTACCTGATTGATCTTTGTATAAAAAACAGCAAAGCGTTTATTTGACTTGACCTTTTGATTTAAACATACATCAATATTCACTTGCCATTCTGTTTTTCATATATATGATTAAATTATTATTCACTTACCCTTGGCTTGATTGATAAAGAAATATAGTAATATTTACTTGCCATTTAGCTTGATTATATATTCGCATCAATATTCACTTGCCATTATGTTAAATGATAAAGAAATGTAGTAATATTTACTTACCCTTCTTGCGAGTTTGGTATATTTCCTCCGCTGTTTGTATTGGAGAGACACCTTCGTTACTTCTCTCTGTTATCAAATAGATACACAATTTATCGTTATATGTCTTAATTAATTATCTAAATACACTTCTTTCCAAATCCTATCAAACTAAATATTGTCGATTTCAAACATTTCTCCACAACGTATTGAAAGCTATTGATGATTTTTTTACGAATGTTGATTAACAGTTTCATAAATACATTATAAATTGATAAAATCATGTTTTATCTTACGTCTTAAATAGCAATTTTGTATAGAGACATGATTGAGTTGTTAATGATTCTTGTCAGTATTCTTCATTAAATCAGCACTTTTTCCCCGGTTTCGAAAAGTATGGCATTTTTACTACACCAATCTGTCAGATATTCAAATATGTTATTGAGCATTATCACTTACTAGACGTTAATGTTGAACAATCAATTTTTATAATAATAAACAATCATAAATATTTAAAAATAAATATTAGAAAATAAAACAGACCTGCATCTTGTCGTTTTTCTATCGCCTCGAGTTTTTCCTCCACTCCAGTAAACGTTGCCTTTACTTCTTTCATGTCTTTCTCCACTCCAGTAAACTTTGCCTTTACTTCTTTCATGTCTTTCTCCACTCCAGTAAACTTTGCTTCAACTTCTTTCTTAACTTCAGCAACATCTGTTTGCACTTTTTTCATTTCTTCATTCAATCGGTCAACATCGGCTTCATAGTCCTTCCACCTTTTTACTTCTTCTTGTAACCTTTTCTCTTCCTCCAGATCGAGAGGGCAGGCTTTGAAATCGGCAATTACTTGCTGGATGTTCAGAGCAGGAGAACTTCGTCGAACAAGTATCTGAAAGGAATCCGATTGGACTAAGTAGCTTAGTAGGTGTTTATTATTATCTTTTTTCAACAATTATGTAAGTTTCTGTATTGGTTTATTTGATTACGTTAGTGATTTACCATACAAATACTCAGAGATCATTGAATAAAATGTGTTTGAATAAAATGAATGAAGTATATAAAACAAATGAACGCATTGTTCATGTTTCTACTCCGTCATCGACTGGTTTTATTGACAGACAATTTTATTTACAGCTAGGTGCACCATCTTCAGGAAGACGTTAGAAAGGGTTATTACTAATATTGAAGAAACATCAAGTATATTATGGAAATATATTTGTCCAGATAGCAGAAACAAATAACTAATGAAATGAATTTGGTCAATATAAAATGACATATACCATGCAGTCGTAAGCGACAAAGCGCAACTCATTTTAATCTTTAATTTTCAATACATATACTTAATTTATTGGCGAGGTAGTTTGTAATTTTAAATTTACCTATTATTCTCCAGAAATGCATTTATGCCTGATTTAAATCAGTAAATGCATATAAGAATATTTAACGCCAGTAAATAACCATATAGTTATAATGTAAACATACACTATGTTTGAAATATCGTCTTATTTAACTGTCGCTCCGATTAATAGTACAGAAGTCTCTTGAAGATATGAATTGGAGAAACTTACAGAATAATTAACAATGTTTTTAAAACCATTGTGCTTACCTGCTCAATTTCATTCCACCAATTAACAAAATCATTAGGTTGTATTCCAGTTGTTGTAGGTAGATGACAGATCTGAAATAATAATTCGCATTACAAGTGTAATAGCAGATAAAATTATATCTGTAGGTTCTCCAGATTGTCAAAGGAAGTAATTCAATGAGCATAACACAGTAAATTTATGCAAATGAATATCGATGCTCTTTAAATGCACTTTTTCTTGTTTAAAAATAATGTTATAATAATTATGCAATGCACTGTGTTCTCATGAGAAAATTAAAACTCTTGCTATACCTTTAAACATAAGACTTGTATTCCAGAAATTATGTGTCATTCTTCTGTTACATTGATAGTTTTCAAATAGTCATGACTTTCTTACGGCATACTTACTTTATTTCGATAAGCTTTTAACCGACATATATCTGCCTCAACTGTTAAGTCGATTGAAATTGGTTTTGTGTTCCAATCAAATGTCTTATTCAATCCAAAACACTTCAAGCATCTTAGAAGACATACAATAAGCGTACAGTCCATCTCTAACGTAGTTGAGACTTTGCCACCCGTAGGAAACAATATGCCATATTGTGCCTGTGTTATAACGCCGCGGCTTTTCAAACGTGCAATTGTTGCCTTTTCGTTATTCAAACATGCACTTAGAGTTAAGCCTTGAGCAGCCAGGATCTGATCAATTATATTTCTTAGAACAAGGAGGCTCCCATCTATGATTAAAATTTGTAAACGGAATAGATGGACACGGTTGTCTGGCTTTTGTGCCATTTTCTTCCCTTCTTTTTTCCTCCAGTTTTTGTTACAGCATCATCTGTTAATAAACAAACATGATATTTTTTAAATTATTGTACAATTGATTTCTTGATATTTTAAAAATAATGTCTCGAAACAGGAACATGTTTTCAAATTGATGTTGTTTATATTTCATATATAACAGATCGTTTGATGAAAAAAATATAAAAAATATTTAGATTAAGATATTTAAATGATATTGTTATTGATAGAGAAATAGCCTTATGCATATTTCAATTTGTCTGTTTTTACAGTAGAAACCTTTGTTATCCTTTACATGGTGTAATTATAAACAAGTGTCATATTAGAACAGGGGCAACGCTCGACTTTTTCACTTTTTCTAAAAGAAAACAAATAAACGGTTTACACAAACTTAAAGCAGAGAATCAAAGTACAAGAAAGCTTTTCCTTTTATTATTATTTCTACATGTAGGTTTGTTTTGTCACACTTGTTGTTTCGTCCAAGTATGAATCCTTTTCATAAATAAATAACAAAGTTAAGAAAATAATATAAAATCCAATCATTTGACAGTAAAGGACATTTAAAGGTCAAGGTCATATTTAAATTATTCCACAAGTCTGTTTGGTCACTTGTGTTGTTTTGTCCACATATGAATCAAATACCAACATAAATATCAAAATAATGACAATTTAACCAAAATTCATCACTTTGACGTCACAGTCAAGGTCATTTAAAACTCAAGGTCAAGGTCAGTTGAACCTTTAAGAATATCATTTCCAAAAGGTGGTTTCTCCAAGTATGAAAATAATCCATTGAATTAAAACCATGTTACAGCCAATTATAGCGATAATCATTGAAAATAAAATAATTTGTCCTTCAAGGTCAAGGTCATACTTGAGTCAATGTTGGTTTGTGTTAGATATACATAAAGATCCTGACATAAAAGATGTTGTGTGTTAATATGAAGTTAATCCATCTATTATAAATAACAAAGCTAAGCAATTTACAGAAAAAACAACAACAATAGAATTTCATTAATTTGACAATGACAGTTAAGGTCAATTTAAGGTCAAAGTCACATCTAAATTATTCAATAATTATGTTTGTTTGGTAGCTAGTCTTGTTTTGTCCAAGTCTAAATCAAATCCATATATAAATATTAAAATTATGACAATTAAACAAAAAATCAATAATTGATCTTGACGGTCAAGGTTATCTAAAGTTCAAGAGCAAGGTTAGTTCAAGCTTTAAGAAGGTCTTGTCCAAAATGTTGTTCTGTCAAAGTTTGAAGATAATCCATTTATTTATGACCAAGTTACTATCAATTAAGGCAAATTTCAGTGAAAATTCAATGATTTAACCTTGAAGGTCAAGGTCATAAAAGAAACAAGGCCAATTTAAATTTGATAAACATGTAGATCTTATCCTAAAAAATGTTTTGTTATGATATAAAATCAATCCATATTGACTATATTACCAATTGCAGCAAAAAAATGAAAAGTCAAGATCATTTATGAGTAAAGGTCAAGGTCTCTCTGGTTAACTAGAAGGGTTATCCTAAAAGGTTATTATTTTCAAGTTTGAATACAATTCATTCAAAATCACAAAGTTATAGCCACAAATAGCAAAAAAACACACCAAATTTTGACATTTGACCTTGAAAGTCAAGGTCATTTATGGATAAAGGTGAAGGTTAATCTAGTCTTCTGAAAGTTCTTGTCCCAAGGAATGTTGTGGCCAACGTTTTAGACAATACATCAAGAACCTAAAAAGTTATGATAAACAAGTTTGCGGCAACGGTAACATAAATGGCAAACGTCAACGGCAACATCGACAAGACTATAACAATACCTCTACTTTTTAAAAAGAATGTCTTGCTAAAAAACAGAAAAAGTGGTGAGCATAGATACTAAATTATCTATTGTATTTTTGTGGATTTTTTAAATAATAATTTAGCTCTTTTTAGCATGTATTATGAAACTAATGATCATCAAGGATGAGCAACGTTTACGAGACGCAACGCCAGCAATATTCAAATAAAACAACGGTGCATACAAGGGCACAAATCGGACAGCGACAGACAAACGGTGCTGAGAAAGAGCCAATTACTAACTAAAGGGGAGCTTAAGTGTAATCTGTGGGTTCAAACCCCAGAAGTGTCAACCTTTTTTCTTTCTTTCTTTTTTTCTTTTTAACATTATTTGTTATCTCTCATATCCCTTTTGGGGAAAGAAAAATGTTAAATTTTGATTAAACATAGGTATTTATTGGCTTAAAAGGGCTAAATCTAATAATAAATATAGAACCTGATAATTTCAAAGTGTAAAAAATCAAAACTAGATGGTACAAGTATTTATTATTTTACAAGATAAACCAATATACCTTTTAAAAAATTAGGAACACTTTGAAAACCGGCGCTCATTTAGGTAATTTTTACGGATTTTTTTGAAAATTAGGCTCCCTAAGTAGGAAAATGGTCAAACAAGTGTTAAAATGGGTGGGGTAGGATAACATTTTTATACATATATAATAATTTTTTCAGTAGAAACAATAATTTTGCTTAAGTGGATTGTAAGCTGAAAGGCCCAACTGGACTATAAAAGCCAGCAGATGGCGCTAGGGCAGGTTTCTTATTAATTTTATGCATGCTTCACTTCAGGGACCCTTTTTCAAAGATTTAAGATTAATTAACAAATGCATTTAAACAACACTTGGCATGTATGTAGGCATATATATTCTTGATATAGATTGACCAAAATTATTCAAAATAAAACTTTGTTAAGTGTGTTTCTGGAAAAAAATACTGGCTGTCAAATTTGAAATTTGAATTTCCATGGGAGGAGCCAACTGATCATTACAGGTCATGAACCTTCAGTAGTAAACAGATGCACGTGGCAGTGTTTATTTCTGTGAGAGAGATTTGTAGCAGACGATATATATTTCAGGGAGGGAGATTTTCAGCAGACGACACATTCTAATGCTGAATACATGATAAGAAAAAACAATAACTTTTACTGATCTTACTTTATCAAAAAGTATTTATATCCAACAAATTTACAATAATCTATGATTTTTTTTGAATTTCAAAGTACTGATTCAACTTGTATTTAAATGGTTTAAACTTGATGAAAACAGTAAAAGTAACTTCCAGGTATATTTCATTTACACTATATTTTGTTGTAAATATCTTGTAGTCAAAATTACATTTCACAAATGTTTATCATTTGTATAATTTTTTTATATATTAATAGTTTGAAAATATTTTAAATTCCTGTCAAGATCATTTTTAGCAGTTTTTCTTAAAAGAAATGTCCCATGTAAGGCACATCCTTTGGATTTGGACATAGTTGTCTGACTTGATGAAAAACAACTGACTTCAAAAATAATATCTGGACAAGATGGCTTGATAATGTCTTTTAATTAATCTGATTAATCTGTGAGTTATATAAAACATCCATTAAACCTCTCCTGTGTAAAATATGCTGTTTTGTTTACATTCTCTCTGTAGGTTAACACTGCATTCTATTTTTAGCTCATGGTTTATAACAGACAGTTTTACATCACTGATTAGTCACACCCACAAATACTCGCTGCCGCGAATGTTGCCCCTTGAATGTTACTATTTGTTTCTTAAACACAATAATGGGAAAACGTGTTTCACCAGAAAGATATTGTTAAGTATAAAAAGGTTCATTATTTCTGAAAACGGGCCCCCATAACATCCTAGCTTTAATTCAGAAAAGTGTCCATAACTTGATTTCCGTACGATAAATTTTGGTTAAATTTTGCATACAGGTGTATTTAAAGGCGATTTTTCACTGTAGAATATAAAGGGGCTTCACTTAATAACTGCTCCAAGTCTTCACAACAATTTACCAGTCAGCCTTCGCATTTTTTCAATTTAAAGATTAAAAAAGTAATCGAAAACGACCTTCGACACTTCTTTTCTTTGAACGACAATTAAATGTGATATTTAAGTGAAATATCAGGCGATATTTCTATCGCTCAAATTAAACTTGAACGCCAAAAAATGAAAATGACTTTTCCACGCCTTGTTTTAACTTGTGTTTTGTTTGGGGCTATAATCTTATAAGATTGCATTCATACACAACTCGTCTATATTCATTTAAACATAGTCTTAGAGGAAAAAACAAATTCGCAATACAATGGCACTACATAATTACATCATTTTTGCTCATTGCATTACGTCCGGCCACTTAATGTTTTTGTCTTGGTTTAAGGTGGGATGAAGTGTAATGTCATTAGAAAGATATTATAGCAGTATCTAACAGTCTCTACAGTCGAAATGTTATTGTGCAAATCACCTTTTGAAAGATATCTTAACATCTTAACCATTGCAAATTGACTGTATTATTACTTCAATATTGGTATGTCAGTTTGCTTAAACGACTACATACAATATCATGTTACAAGAGGAGCAGAAAGAAATATGTCTGGGTTAGGATTATGCGGCGTTTATAAATATAGTTATATCATTTGAGCTTATCGTGTTACAGATTACAATAATTTACTAATATATACACATATGATTAAACAATTATATTTTCATAGCAAGTATGTGTGCTTGTCAATTTAAATGTGTACTTTTGGAAATATTTTGTTCACGTAGATATAAAATTGGGTGTTGCTGGGGTCTTTGCGCAAATAGTTAATGACCTGACTATACGACCTTCACCTGCGGTTAAGCCCAATTGCTTCTGTTTTAAAGTAGTCAAAAGTTGTTTAAGTATACAGAAATGAAATATAAGCATGTCAGGACTTATAAGATTAAACATATATGACAAAACGTCATTCAATGAAGAAATCATATTTCTGTTTTGCTTAACTACAAGTAGTACTTTATAAGTATAATGATGTTAAACCCTTTACTACATGAGCATGTTGTGTAAAAATGGCTGTTTTCATTGAAAAACCTTACCTGTTACAAGTTAAAACTGGTTTGAAACTGTAAAAAATACTTCAATACTGATTAAACTTGGAACAAATGTTGACTGGACCATATTCTTTGTACTTAAATTTCTGTTACGATGA